TTCAACTTCTTATAATGTCTTTAGCAATGATTCTAAAAAACTATTGCAATAATAGATTGGAGTGAAAGGTATAAACTCATGGGCACTCCCATGCTGAACAACATAGGAAATGAGAACAGCCAACTTTTCCTCAAGAAATTATAATGTATCTCAGCTATAATATCAGAGCTAGAAAGAAATACACTGTCTAGCAACATGAGATAGCTTCAGAATTAACTTTAAGGAATACTGTGAAATTGAAAGTCAAGAGAGTTGCAAACATCAAAGGTCTATGTGGCCTGTGTGAAGCAAAATTCAGGCTAATGAATCATGATAAACAATGAAACTGTGATATGAAATTTCAAGGTATTGTACAAAATAAAGACATGATACAAATAGAATTGAAAAACCAAACAAACAAACAAAAACTTCTAGCTCCTGGCTGGTGGAGGAGACACATTTAGAAGTAGAGAAGGGCCTTCATTGACAAAACAAACTATTCAATACTCTAGCAGGTTGCCTAGCACTGTGCAAACCAGGATGATGGGATGAACAATTAAACTTCATGTCTATTTAAATCAAGCAATATGTAAGCCCCAGGTTATTGTTATTGATTCACCTGTCCCAGGAACACTAGTCCAGAGGGACACATTTAAAATATGGCACACTTGCTTAAAGACCACATGCATGAAAAGAGTGAAAATGCTCAGATCAAAACACATTTCCTCCTTCTCCCACATGAAGGCAGAGAGAAAGGCGGTTCCACTATCAGGTGCAGGTCTGGAACCAAATGAAGAGGCTACTATATGGCTGCTGAGTGCAGCTGCAATGAATGGTTTCCTGGTACTGCCTTGAGTGACTCTGTCACGAACCGTGACAGTTGCAAACCATAGAGAACATGGCTCTCTTCTAAGACCAAGGCAGTCATGTACTTAGAGTTTGGGGCTTCAAAAAAGGAGGGAGAGCACATGAGCTGTTTCACACTCAGCCATTTCACTTGGTCACATAGGCCCATGGCACTCACCTCAGCCTGCCAGATGGGGTTCACGGTGTTGCCTATGATCTTAGATCTCCTCTCCTGTCCATGGTGTGGAAGGGCAGGGAAGATGCTGTGCTTCCCAGGCTGAATGGAAATCTTCAGGTAAGGATCTGGGTTGAAAAACATTCCTTTCTTCAACCCCATGGCCTGGAAATCTATGAAATAAAGGACATTTTAATTTAAATGTGTTTAGTGAGGTTGAAGTTCCTATCAGGCCTTTCACAAGGAGAAAAGTCCATCTAAAACATGGAAAAATCTTTCAATCTTTAGACTATTTCCACCTCATTGCAAATATGGACTGATATATCTATAAAACCCAATATATGAAATATTCACTGACATGTATTAAATCATTTTGGTGAGAAATCTTTGTAATAATTCAATACAGCTGGCATTATGCTTTTCAAGAGAGGGCCATTGGCCCTTACTGGACTAGACTTCAGCATTCTTCAGGAAGGATAAGATAATGGGTTTGAGTGAGGGTCTGAGGGTCACCTCAGAAAACTTGGGTGGACACTGAGGGAGGAAATCCAACTTTGAAAATCTGATGGATCTAGGTGGAAATTCCTCTGTAATGTAGAGACATAAGAAAAACAAGGGCTGTAGTCTCACACTAAATGTGGTCTTCACCAAATAAGAGACAATTAGAAGAAATAAAGAAAAAGAGGAGGATTAAAAGAACAAAGAGCATGGATGGTAGAGAATGAAAAAAGAAGACATGGTCTCCGTGGAGTTAAGTGCAGATCAGTGAGGAGAGTTTTGAATAACCATGCTGTCAGGAAAGGCAAAACTTTGAAAGCTGAACTGTTCCATTTAATTGAAATTGTCTGATCCTGTACAATTTCATGCTGGAGAGAGAGAAAGGGAGAGAGAGAGAGAGAGAGAGAGAGAGAGAGAGAGAGAGAGAGAGAGAGAGAGAGAGGACAAGACCATTTGTGACAATGGTTTATAATTATTCTAAAATAATTTGAAATAACTTTATATTTCTTAGAAATATATTTATGAGGTCAAAGACATAATTAAAAACTTGTTCTATTACTGAAGTATTCTCCCCCAAATTATTCTCATTTATATATAAGTGAAAGAAATTGAGGTATAGAAACATTGAATTGATTTCCAATGATAGTATAAATTGGAGGTGTTTGAGTAATTTGTTACTACAGAAAAAGTACAGAAGTTTTCATGTAAATGTTATTTTGAGTTGATTCAAGATTATTTGCATAATGAAATTATTTTTACTCTCTTGTATTATAATATAACTGCCATGAGGGGGGAAAGAATAAAAAGTACAATAAGCATCATAGAAATTTGCAAAACCCACAAGAATATGTGCAGAAGAGAGAACACAGCAGCCTGAAATTTCTCTCCTTAGAAGATTTATTTATAAGGTTGGCCCTTAGCTAGTGTCTGGGAACTTGGATCTCTGGAGGGTTCCCACACCTCAAAACTGGTAAGAGTGGCTCACTGTTCCTAAACAGTGTGTGTAAACTATGTGGTTTATGCTAAAAACCTGCTTTCCTTCTAGCAGTCTGCAATTTCGGTACTTGCTAGGCAGAGGTGCCTATGTGACCAGCCTTCAATGAGAACCTTGGCACTGAGTCTATAATGAGCTTCCCTGGTATATAACACTTCATATGTATTGTCACAATTTGTTACTTAGGGAAACAAGCACATTCTCTGTGACTCCACTGGGAGAGGACCCATGGAAGCTAACTCCTGATTTCCTTCAGACTTCACCCCAGGCACTTTTCCCCCGTGCTTACTTTGCTTTATATCCTTTCAATGTAATAAATCATAGCCATGAATATGATTACATGCTGAGTTCCAGCGAATTACCAAATCTGGGGCAGTGTTGGGGACCCTACCCAGAGTGTGATAGACATATAGGTTTATTCATCATAAAATAATATGACCGCCATCACCTCCATAAGATCCACCACTATCACCTACCATTTCTTGGCTGGTTACTAAATTCTGAGAATCATTCAGTGAACTTCAAATACATTATCTAATTTAATTCTAACCATAAACTCTATAAGGTAGATATTATATTCCTAATTTGAGGAAGAGAAAGTGGAAGCTTATGAGTTAAGTAACTTGATGAGGTTGTTGGAATTGGTAAATATCATAAATAAAATTTCAACCTGTCTTTGATTCTCAAGTCTCTGCTTTTAACCAATATGTTATATTACCTTCTAATAAAAATGTCAACATTGGCATAGGTTGAATTCTCAAGTATAAATGAGTGGTTTTTTTATACTCGATTCTGTTCTACCAAAACACTTGTCTATAACCCCACCAGAATGTCTGTATCCTACATTTGATACCTCATAAACTTAGTCAGACTTCATTGCTCTTGCTTTTTTAATAGAAAATATTTTGATTTATCACTCATACATTTATTTTCCCAGATTAATCTTACTAATTTAACAACCCCTCCTTCAAAAATTGGGATTTTAATTGGAATTGCATTGAATTTATAGATTAATTTTGGAAGAATTGGTAACTTTATAATACTTCTCATTCAAGAACATATGTTTCTTTATTTTTTTAGGTCTTCTTTCATGTCCTTCAGGAAACTTTTATACTTTTCTATATAAAGGCTTTCACAGTTAAGTTCAACTTGGATCTTACTAAAATATCTATTTCATGAAGTAAAAGTGTTTGAAAACTGCTGCAACAAGCAGTATAATTGCACTGGATGGGGAGTCAGTATATCCAGATTTAATTCTGGAACACTCACTATTGAACTTTGTAACCTGATAAATTGATTTAATTCTATCATATCTCAATTTATTTATCTATAAAATTGTTGGAATGGATTTCTATAAGAACAGTTTTATGATTTTCCAAAATTAAATAATACATTAATGAGAGAATAATTTCCTCCCATTTTTGCCTGCATTACTTTTCTGTTCTAATGATAAACATAATGCACACTTATTATATCATTTTTAAGTATAGAAGGAAAAGAAAGACAGAAATTTAAGATTATTTCAAATTGAACCACCTAGTGGCAACCATTACCAGATTTTTTCTTTATTATCTTCCAGTACTTTTCTTTGCATAATTGAGACCATATTGTATATATAATCTTTATATAGATTTTTTTCTTAGCACCTGATAGTATAATTTGAATATTCAAAACTATCTTCAGTTCAAGAAAGTTTCTCCTATTATTGTTTCCATTCAGTTTGTTCTGATCTCTTCATCAAAAATACTAATTATGTATGTGTTGGTGCTGTGTCATTCATCCTTTTCCCCTCATCCTTTGTATTTTGCCCTTCATCTATGCATTCTGGGAGAGACTCTCAAGTCAGTCTACCAAATCACTGATTGTAATTCTGTAGTGGTGATTGTTTTCTTTACTGCTTTCTAAAACTCACTTTTAATTCTATGATTGTACCTTTTAAAATTATTGTAAGTTTATTCTTGATTATGATAAGCAGAAAAATGCCCCCCCTACTCCTCCCTCCACATCCCCTCCCCCCTCCCCCCACCTCTCTGTCCTCAAAGATGACCACAACCTAATATCTGGAACCTGTGTATATGTCACCTTACATTATAGAAAGGGCTTTACAGATGTGGCTAAGTGTAAGGATCTTGACTGAGATAAAGAGATTATTCTGGATTATCCAAGTGGACCCAATGCAAACATAAGGGTCCTAAAATGGAGGCCAGAAAGGCAAAGTGAGGAAAAATTGACATGACAATGAAGCAGAGATTGGAGTGATGCAGCCATGAGTTACAAAATGTAGGCAGACTCTAGAACCTGAAAGAGAAAAATAATGAATTCATTTCTAGAGACCCCAGGAAGGAACCATCCCTGATGACACCTTGATTTTAGTCCCTTAAGATTCATTTTGGACTTCTCACTTTCAGAACTGTACAAATATATTTGTGTTAAGTCATTAACTTTGAAGTAACTTGTTACAGCAGCAATAGGAAACACATACACTTGGCTTTTAAAGTTTTTGTTTTTGCCAGCTTTGAAGAACTCCCTTATCATCTTTGCTCATCTTAGATTTACTGAATAAGTCCTGCACTTTCCTATATTTTATTGAGAGTACAAGCAGAGGAGTGATAAATGCTTTACTTTTCTTCTTTAGATATCTGTCAATAAACTTTTTTTCTCTTGAGTTCCTTGAACTTTTTTATGAGGTAGAATATTTTCTTCACATATTCTTCAAGTAAAAATGGCTGCTATTTATCCATGAATAGGTTGTGGAGTCCAAGTATTTGTCCATCTTTAGTTTGCTGGGTCATCTAATTGGCTACTGTTGGAATTCTTATTTCTGTCTTTACACTTGGAGATAATTAGCACTTGTAGTCAAGTTTTTGATGCTTTGTAGGTTTGCTTATTTATAGATTTGCTGATCTTTTTATCTTTTCTTGCTTTGAAGAATTAAATTTATTATGATACTTTAAGCAGTATTTACTCTTTTCCCTAGATAGACACAGTGAGTTAACATTATATATATTATTAAAATTACACTGATGGTAACCACTTTGAGCACCTCTTGTGAATACAGAAGTCAAACATGACTTGTATTCACTTTTTGTTATTGGTATATATTGAGTATTAAAATTTTAATACAGATTTTTTATTTCTTAAAATGTGTATATATTGGTCATTTGAGTGGTGCATTGGTTAAAAGCTGGCTTGGGACACCAGCTCTGAGCAGCAGGGCCTGGTTCAGATCCCACATGAGGGCCAGTGACACTGCACTCTACAGCTAAGATGCTGAACAACAGCTCGACCTGGAGTTGGGCTGCCGTGAGTCACCGGTGATGGCGTAGGCTGCAGCCCCTGCTGCAGTGGGCTGCCATAAGCTACTGTGTATGGCCGGCAGCCTGTGTGAGCTGCCAAGAGCCGCCATGAGCAGCTGTCCAGAGGCCAGCGACCTATCTGCCTCACCCAGTAAGAGTGCAATGATAATGCCAACATGGGCCAGTGAAGCAACGTCCTCCACAACTAGACTAAAGAGCAAAAGGACAGCAAGTTGTCTGTTTCCCTTCCCCTGATTCCCCATCGCTGTTCCCCTCCCTCAATTCCCCAATAAAATCTTTAAAAAATGTGTATATATTTTTTGGCACCCTCTGTACATATTATTAGACTTCCATGGCCACTCCAGGCTTGCTTCTTTAGCTGCTA